GAGAAAAACGAAACACAATGAAAAGGAAAAGCGATCCGGCACAATTAGAGAAGACAGCAGCAGGAGTGCAAGGCCATAAAAGGCCAGAGGACTGTCCCACGGAGCATCACACTCCGGCAGCCGTCCACGAAGCCCACTCACGACGCCAACGGGCCGGATTCGGAGGGGGCATGTATTTAAAAGCAATTCTGAGGTTAGAAAGTGTAGCATAGGCTCCTCGCACAATGTTCTTAATGTGGTCCTCAGGTGACAGTTTTCTATCTAGAACCACCCCTAGATCCCTTTCTTTGTCAGAATTCTTTAAAGATTTCTCACATAATTTATAGGTTGTGTGGGGTCTATGTCCTCTAATTCCACATTCCATAACATGGCATTTATTCACATTAAATTCCATTTGCCAAGTGTTGCTCCATATACTTATTTTGTCCAGGTCTTCTTGAAGGGCATGACAGTCATCTAGGTTTCTTATCTTCCCTATTATCTTAGCATCGTCAGCAAACATGTTCATGTAATTCTGTATTCCCACTGGTAGATCGTTTATGTAGACAATGAACATTACCGTTGCAAGAACTGAACCCTGTGGTACTCCACTCGTAACATTCCTCCAATCCGATACCTTGCCTCTGATTACGGCCCTCATTTTTGTCAGTTAGGAAATTTTTCATCCATGTTAGTAGCTTACCTGTCACCCCTCCAATATGTTCCAGTTTCCAGAACAACCTCTTATAGGGAACCCTGTCGAAAGCCTATTTTTAGGTCCAGATAGATGCAGTCAACCCAACCATCTCTTTCCTGTAAAATCTCTGTGGCTCGATCATAAAATCTGAGCAAGTTCATTACACAGGATCTTCCAGATCGAAAACCATACTGTCTGTCTGATATTATATCGTTTTCCTCCAGGTGTTCTACCCATTTAGTTTCAATTATTTTTTCCAATATTTTGACTATTACACTTGTCAATGATACAGGTCAGGGGGCCTTCCCTGTTTCCACTTTTGTAGATTGGAACTATGTTAGCCTTTTTCCACACATCAGCTACAACTCCTGTACACAGGGATGCCTGAAAAATTAGTTGAAGTGGAATGCTGAAGGAAGGTTCCGTGCTCCATTGGGGTCGACCTGAGGACCGTTGTGACCCCAGCGGGTGACCCCACACACTGACCATGACTCTTTCATAAAAGGAAGTGCTATTTGTGTGGGCTGGACCTGTAGACCGTCAGAACTTCAGCGGTCGTCCCCACAACCTGGTTATGATTGTTCACCAATATCACCAATGTTCACCAATGAGACACCAATAAGTGTGGCCAATACTGTATGCAGCCAAGCCAGATAAGTTTTCATTTTCTATTTCAGTGATAAGGACGCCACAGAGATAGGTCACATAACACACCAAGGGTGTTGGACACACACACACAACAGGTACCTAAATGTTTGCTAGCTCACGTCTTGGGAACCATTGAGAGCTAAGGTCTAATATTACTAGACATAGCAGTATGTCTAGTAATATCAGTACGGTATTCTTTAGTGGGTTTTTCAAGTAATTTGGTAATACTCTATTATATGTATAAGCCCTGCCACATGTATCTCGACACTAGTACCCAGAAACCCATGTTCAGTGCCTCATACCTTGAGAATCGCCGACTGTAGCACAGTGGTGTATGTCATCGGCTCACAACCAAGGGTTCCGGGTTCAATTCCTGGCAAGGACAGCCACACCTGGGCACATTTCATTTCACCTGATGCCTGTTGCATCTTAGGGAAGGTCAGTAGGTGGTCAAGGATGACCTCAATAAGCCTAAGTAGACTTCTTGTTCCTAACAATGAGAGCTCATATTAATATGCATGACAGAATGGTACGTTTGGCATGTGATAACAGTATTTATAATTTATCTAGATATACAATACTTGATTCAGGTATCTGGGTACTGAACACAGACCAGTTTTAATGTTGGTGTCGAGATACATTATAATTTATTATCCATGATGCATCTTTCTAGGTGTATACCTGTCATTCTAGTCTAAGAGCTGTTCATCCACCTGAAAAAAATAAACAAATTAAATTAAACATAACCACTTAAATTTGCCCCCCCAAAAAATTATGGTTTTTGTAAGAAAAATGCACTTAATCACAGAAAAATGCTCGTCATATTTATTTGCGCAAGTTTGCATTAGATATTGTATGTTTCAATATTTCTTTGAGTATAGTAGTATTGTACAGAATAGTATACTGAGTGTGATGCAGACATTTCTATAGCTTTATTTACACTGGTGCTGAGGTTACAGCATTTTTTGGCCCCAATATCTGGTAATAGCTGACCATTTCATAATGGCTTACTTTACCCTACTGCCAAATGTTTTGAGTTGTTTTTCTGCAAATAATAGAACAACTCTCTACATGATTTTCCAAACAACTAATATTGTTGTTTTTCTGCAAATAACAGAACAACTCTCTACATGTTTTCCCAAACAACTATATATAAAGTACAGTATAAACACTTATTTTCTAATATAAAAATATTGCAAACAATATTTTTACTTGGTTTTCATTGAACAGCTTTATCCAGAGAACAAATCCACAAGGGCCGTGACGAGGGTTCAAATCTATGTCTGAGAGGATCCCAGACACTGCCTTAATCGACTGAGCTACGACATGGTAAAAGAATTACAACTGGGAAATCATCCTGAACTACTGCGGCTCCTGCAGCCTCTCCGAGACACAAACCAGGGTTTTGTGCAATTCCCTTCATGCACCTGAGCTCTGCCAATAGGCTGTTCTAGCTTTATCCAGATATTCCATCACAATGGCTGTACTCTTCAAATCACTTGTGCTGTCCCATCTTGAGTACTGCTCAGTGCTCACTTCCCCCTTCAGAGCAGGAGAGATTGCTGAAATAGAGGGAATACAGAGAACATATACAGCATACATAGATGTGATAAAGCATCTAAATTATTGGGATCATCTGAAAGCTCTCCAAATATACTCACTAGAAAGGAGATGAGAGATATCAAATAATAAATATGTGGAAAATACTGGAGGGCCAGGTCCCAAATCTGTACAGTAAAATAATAACGTACTGGAGTGAACGGTATGGAAGAAAATACAGAATAGAACCAGTGAAGAGCAGGGGTGCCGTAGGCACAATCAGAGAACACTGTATAAACATCAGAGGTCCACAGTTGTTCAACATCCTCCCAGTGAACATAAGAAATATTGCCCTAACAACCGTGGACGTCTTCAAGAGAAAACTGGATAGTTTTCTTCAAGGAGTGCTGCACCAATTGGGCTGTGGTGAATATGTGGGCCGGGCTTGGGGAAGTTCTGGAAGAACTCCCAGAACCCCATCAAGCAGGTATCTTGGTAAACCATTTATAAAGCTACATGAATAAATCCCTAAATTTTGCCATCCAAACTTGTAATGAACTCTGAAACTGTAAACATTTTTCCGTCAGACACCCGGGCTCTCCTCACTCTCTTTTATCCCTTTAGTCTTTTTCTCCCTGTTAAAATAGCTCTTCATCCTCCTGCTACTTTATTAGCCTGATTACTCTTCCTAGAATACATTTCTACTTTCTAATAATGAGAAACAAAAATAACTGATGAAAATTCAGAGAAGCACGAGATCCTGGTGCACTAGAACATGGGAAACACTGCAGGGCTCTAGACACTGTGGTGTCTCCTGGTGCACTAGAACACGGGGAACACTGCAGGGCTCTAGACACTGTGGTGTCTCCTGGTGCACTAGAACACGGGGAACACTGCAGGGCTCTAGACACTGTGATGTCTCCTGGTGCACTAGAACATGGGAAACACTGCAGGGCTCTAGACACTGTGGTGTCTCCTGGTGCACTAGAACACGGGAAACACTGCAGGGCTCTAGACACTGTGGTGTCTCCTGGTGCACTAGAACATGGGAAACACTGCAGGGCTCTAGACACTGTGGTGTCTCCTGGTGCACTAGAACACGGGGAACACTGCAGGGGTCTATACACTGTGGTGTCTCCTGGTGCACTAGAACACGGGGAACACTGCAGGGGTCTAGACACTGTGGTGTCTCCTGGTACACTAGAACACGGGAAACACTGCAGGGGTCTATACACTGTGGTGTCTCCTGGTGCACTAGAACACGGGGAACACTGCAGGGGTCTAGACACTGTGGTGTCTCCTGGTACACTAGAACACGGGAAACACTGCAGGGGTCTATACACTGTGGTGTCTACAAACATACACAACTGGGCCACCCCATGAAAAATTAACACTACACAAATTGTACAATAACATTCAAATGTACAGTAAGATCACAATGTAAATACTGTACAGTAAAACATTAATGAAAATATTGCAATATGTACGTTTTGTTTAATACTGACCATTAAATAGTCATTAAATTAGCAGTCTCCGTGGTGTAGTGGTAAGACACTCGCCTGGCGTTCCGCGAGCGCTATGTCATGGGTTCGTATCCTGGCCGGGGAGGATTTACTGGGCGCAATTCCTTAACTGTAGCCTCTGTTTAACGCAACAGTAAAATGTGTACTTGGATGAAAAAACGATTCTTCGCGGCAGGGGATCGTATTCCAGGGACCATAGGATTAAGGACCTGCCCGAAACGCTACGCGTACTAGTGGCTGTACAAGAATGTAACAACTCTTGTACAGTATATATATAAAAAAAAAAAAAAAAAAAATGTGGCAATAGTAAAATATTTATAAAAAATACTGATGGTTAGATTTTCTGAAGCAAAGTCAATCGAGACTTTTAAATGCATTTGAAAGTGACCTATTATAATCTTTAAAATATTGTCCCACTTGCCTAACTTTCCTGAAATTTTATGATTTTAAAACTATCACAACCATTACTTTAGAAGCTGCACTGTAGAACACATAGGCAGGTATAGCACAATACTGTAGTGACAACTATCATAAGCAACAAAGTAATACAGTACAGTGCTAAATTTGCTGCACATAAGTTTCTAATAACTAAATATGTGACTAAAAAACATGTGTATTAATATAAATCACTTTATTTCAGGAGTAAGATGTGAATCTTACATTATACAGCTTCTGATATATAAATTATATTAAGACTAACTTATGATTTTGCAGCTGGCCAGTTCTTCTCAAAACTGACACTGGGAGGTCCAAAACTAGTTTCTATATATGTACATACTTGCATAACACTTTATACATACACTGAACAATATTGAAAATTTATGAGTTATAAAATGAAGCACCATAATACAATCTTTGTAATTCTTGTTACCACTCTTTCATCATTTTACAAAGGCATACTGAAAGGTGTCATTAAATATAAGAGATTAAAGATGGTTAACAAAGAAGTAGAGTATGCATTCGTATACACAAGGCACCGGTTATTTGAGTACAGTATAAATATGAGAGAAAAGTAAAACAGAGTTTGAATAAAGTCTAAAACAATGGAATGCGAGATTTACGAGTACTGTACAGTATTCTGAAACTACGCTACCAATAATGCTAGTTTGTGTACAAATACATTTTCACTGAAAATGCCATACACATTAGATTCATTCTAACAATTTGGCATATAATATACACATTATGTGCCAAACAAGTGCTTATATGAAATTGTCTAAACTTAAAATAGTGTACTGTACAGGTATTTGATATTGATTGATGATATAAGCCCAAATATGGTGTGCATATGACATGTAATTGGCACGAAAAATAGATTGCACATTCACTATACATATATCAGCTTAAAATGTGAATACATTTATGAGTAGTGATGCACAGCATCAAGGATATGTATCATGCTTATTCATTAACAGCAAATTTCAATTTTAATGTTAATGCATTTTGCTCACGAATATTTGCATCCTCTGGATATTCATATGCCTTTTGGGGATTGGGTATGTAAAAAGGATAAATGAAAGCTGTAAAGTAGCGGCCAATCAAGGGATTTCTCAAGTGCTGAGGTTGTCTTGCATGTCGCAAATTCTCTTGAGCAAGATAACGAGCCGATCCACCATCAGTAAGGACTCTATAGAAAGGTTGATCAGTACCATGTGCAAGTCCTGTTTCTCCCATTAACACCAATGTATCTTCACTTTCTACACACATCGAGTCCCAATCATACACTACACAAAGGTCGCCACCTCGTTGTTCAAGAACTTCTCCTACTGCAAATTGTACTTGCCAGCTCTTGCGATCAACTCGTCTTTTCTGCACCATCTCGCCTCCCGGCCATCCATGCGGCCAAGGAACACTAGCCAGGGGATTTAAGCTAGAATAACTTGTAACTGCTGTTGACAACAGATTTTTAAGCTCTGACACTCTTGTACGTGCTCTCTTGTCTACACTGGCAAGCATTCGAAGCAAGTCTCGCATAGTGTTCGGTGGTTGTCCCATTCTCCTCCGGAAATTTAACAGTTTTTCAAGGGTAAGTTTAGAGTTAATGCGTAGCAGGATACTCAAATGTAAAAGCTTTCCTAGCGTCTGATGGCTTTCATTTATCCTTAGAAGCTGATGCATGTAGTGATATAGACGACTCATTTTCCAATGCTCGACATGTTGCCATGCAGTGAATAACAGACGGATTGGTTGGTTGTACGTCTCCTCGTCGAGTAAATCATAAAGAACAGGTTCACCGGCTTGCCACCTTTCCCCTTTCAGCCAACATTCTGCCAAAAAAACAATTTGTTGAATTATTGCCTGGCACATCCCTGGAGCATCCACTGTCTGGCCCTCTTGCCAGTCATTCATAACAATGCTCAGTGACGATGGATCTTTCTTACATATTTCACATGCACTTGAATATCCACTAACACCATCTTGACCAACAAAGTAGAGTTTCCACGTATCTAAGACATGACCCGTTACATTCTTGTGCACTTCAATGTGCACACCGAGACGATTTGCTACACACGACTCGATAACTAATAGCAGTTTTGAGCTTCCCTTTTTGTTTATAAGAACCTGGTCAACACAGTAATGGTCCGGTCCACTCTCATACAAACTGTTGTTAATTTTAAAACCATATTTATGCTTAATTATATGATGCACTGCTTGCATAATTTCACTACAGTGTTCACCTTTCCAGTAACTCAAGTTACCCGATAAAACGTCACACTTGTTTTCAACTTTATTACACAATGGATTATCTGGAAACATTTGCTTTATGTAACTCAGAGTTTCATTTGCTAGTTTGTCAAAAGTAAAGCTGACCTTATCATTGATGGGTTCACTACGTATAGGCTGGAGACTCACCACCACCCACAACATGCCCTCCTCGTACCTGTACTTGAGACACTCCTCCGGCTGCCCCACAAACTTCTGCCACTCGCTGGTGATCACGCATCGCTCGTATACGTGGCTGTACAACTTGCCAGCATAATACTTCAACGTTAAGTCCATGCACCGAGGTCCACTGTTCATTATGTTATAACATTCATCCAGTATGTAGTAGAGGTTAGCGTGGGCGAGGTGGTCAGTGAAGAGTGTCTCGTAGAGTGCCAGGGCTCGTCTGGGGATGTCCGGCCACTCGTAGTCGTGATACATTGACCACACAAATGTTCTCGACAAGGCCAAGATGCACTGAACCAGCTTCTTCTTGCACCGATACACAGAGCTATATTTAGACTTCCAGTCCATCTTATCTTTGCACAAGGCATCATTATAGCGGTAAGTATATGGGTAGTGCTGACTAAACTTTCTTTTCCAGAGAGAGTTGCGTTGACAGACACCACACAGGTACTTGCTCGCCACCGAACAGCTCACAACATCTTCAACACTCACACGAATGTCAGTCAGGATTCTCTCCAGAACCTCGTATGGGAGGCTTTCAATTGTCACGCGCTCCTCCATCATCAATGGGCTGGTGTGTTAGTTCCATGACCGCTGCAGGAGAGTGTAATATGTGGGCGTGCACGAGAGCTCCCTCACACACACCACACAACACCCGCCAGTAAACAACTCCCTCCACCCAAAATAGAACACTATTTGCTCCTCTATGCCTTATTAATAGCACAAATGATTTGAAAATATTTACAAAATAATATGTTACATAATAACATTGATAAATATTATATAAATTAAACAAATACCAAATATACATAAAGAGATCACAAAAATACATATATTTCCCCCCTAACACCCGGCGCCAAGGAATGTTTTCACACGAACCAGGATCGGTTCTTGGATTAGTCATATTAAGTCCACTTTCTCATTGAAATGTATTTATTAATAATATAATATAATACAAATAATTCATTATATAAAATATATTTTAAATATAATACCATATTTTTATTAATAAGCTTAGGTATACACAGCAATGTGCTGCTCCCCTATTTTATATGAAAGATTACACAGTGTATATCAAAAAGTAGCTATAGGTTCAACTAACATTCCCTTCTCACAGGATGGTTAGTCATACATGCAATTAGGGGGAGCCTTAACACAAAAACAAATCAAATCTGACTAAAAATCAGGTGAGAACATAAAATATAAGGCTGATCTATTAGCCCCCACTAGCAAAATAGCACTGAATCGTGGAAACATTATATTATAATTATATTAAAATACATTATATAAATATTTTGTATAAAATGTAATTATATTAAAATACTACCTAATTAACTCCATGTAACCTACTTTACCCCCTAAATGTCAACCCATGTCTTGCTATTTTGTATGCTGTAGTATAGCTACCTTTTTTTTTTGAGATATATACAAGAGTTGTTACATTCTTGTACAGCCACTAGTACGCGTAGCGTTTCGGGCAAGTCCTTAATCCTATGGTCCCTGGAATACTGTCCCCTGCCGCGAAGAATCGTTTTTTCATCCAAGTACACATTTTACTGTTGCGTTAAACAGAGGCTACAGTTAAGGAATTGCGCCCAGTAAATCCTCCCCGGCCAGGATACGAACCCATGACATAGCGCTCGCGGAACGCCAGGCGAGTGTCTTACCACTATACCACGGAGACTGCTAATCCCCACAATCACCAAGCCCACCCGAGTCACTCAAACATCTGCCACTACTTTGGATCACTTATGGACTAATATAACAGCTCCCCTAGCTTGTATCTGGTATAATGTGACTACTTTGGATCACTTATGGACTAATATAACAGCTCCCCTAGCTTGTATCTGGTATAATGTGACTACCTTGGATCACTTATGGACTAATATAACAGCTCCCCTAGCTTGTATCTGGTATAATGTGACTACCTTGGATCACTTATGGACTAATATAACAGCTCCCCTAGCTTGTATCTGGTATAATGTGACTACCTTGGATCACTTATGGACTAATATAACAGCTCCCCTAGCCTTGTATCTGGTATAATGTGACTACTTTGGATCACTTATGGACTAATATAACAGCTCCCCTAGCTTGTATCTGGTATAATGTGACTACCTTGGATCACTTATGGACTAATATAACAGCTCCCCTAGCTTGTATCTGGTATAATGTGACTACCTTGGATCACTTATGGACTAATATAACAGCTCCCCTAGCCTTGTATCTGGTATAATGTGACTACTTTGGATCACTTATGGACTAATATAACAGCTCCCCTAGCTTGTATCTGGTATAATGTGACTACCTTGGATCACTTATGGACTAATATAACAGCTCCCCTAGCTTGTATCTGGTATAATGTGACTACCTTGGATCACTTATGGACTAATATAACAGCTCCCCTAGCTTGTATCTGGTATAATGTGACTACCTTGGATCACTTATGGACTAATATAACAGCTCCCCTAGCTTGTATCTGGTATAATGTGACTACCTTGGATCACTTATGGACTAATATAACAGCTCCCCTAGCTTGTATCTGGTATAATGTGACTACCTTGGATCACTTATGGACTAATATAACAGCTCCCCTAGCTTGTATCTGGTATAATATATGACAGAACAACTGACCACTATCCTACCTTTTTCTGTTCGGGGGAGAAAAGACGCAAGCTAGTATGGGGGAACTTACAATACAATACAATACAATTTTATTTAGGTAAGGTACATACATACAATAAATATTTACAAGGATTGTTTAACTTATAGGTATAGCTAGTACATACAATGCCTAAAGCCACTATTTCTGACCAGGGGGAGAAAGATACTGGCAGTATGGGGCGTTAAAGTTTATTGAGGATTAAATTCTGCAGAACATGTAAATATATAAAGTTCAAATATAAAGTAAGTAATTATATAAAGTCTATATTAAACACGGTTTATATTATAGACTTATAACAAAGTTGATATTATATTAAACTTAATATTGAACATGTAAATATATAAAGTAAATATATAACGTTTATATCAAAATATATAAAGTAAATATATAAAGTAAGAATTAACAGTAACAATTCCAAGTCCGAGGACTAGATTTAACTTAAGGTACACCCGTAGTAAGTATGAGACCTTAGCCTATAGTGACATGGAAACTAATTCTGCAGAAACCTAAAGGTTAACTGGTACTAGTATTAAGGCCGAGTGCAAATGTGTAGTAATTATATAACACTAGGATATAACAGGCAGGACACAAAGAATAACTAATAAGTGAGAGACCACATAACACGTAATGTACCCGGCCAAGAGGCCGTAAAAGACCTAATGGATAAGGAGAAGGGGGTGTGACTACAAGTAGGGCTTACTAGCACCTAGACTGGGCAAAGTATTAGCTGCGGACAGCGGGACACTTGGGGACCGGCGCTGCACCCCCCTTCCCACATGCAGTGGGGAGACAAACGGGACAACTGTGCGAAGCATGACGGGGGTACAAAAGCAGCCGCTTGCAAAGGGGGGGAGGGTGGGGTTTTGCGAGGGCAGCGGCGAGGGCGGGCGGAGTGAGGCAGAGCCCCATTGTGCGCCCGTATTTATACGGCCCCAAACTGCCCGCGCAACGCCGCGGGACGCGCTGCGCAATTGTTTCTTTCTCCCCCGCCAGAAAAATCCCCGCTTGTGAAGCAGTGACCATTTACGCAAAGCGTTTCGGGCATGATAAACTTAAATGACAAGCTTAATACTAATTGAGCATAATGAGTAGAATGAAAACAAGAAATGAAAACATAGATGAAAAAGCAGCACAAATACAATTATGTCGACAAACAGCGCTCTTTAAAGAAAAAAACAGACATTGGTTGACAATAGAAGGGTAAGGTAGGTTACAGGGAATTTATTAGGTATAGCTTCGCTTTTAACTTAAACTGGTTGAGAGAGGTACAGTCTTTAACATGGTTGGGAAGGTCATTCCACATTCTGGGCCCCTTGATTTGTAGAGCATTTCTAGTTTGATTAAGTCGTACTCTAGGAATATCAAAACTGTATTTATTTCTGGTGTGATGCTCATGGGTTCTGATACAACCTTCTATGAAGCTTTTGAGATCAGGATTGGCATTATAGTTTAGCGTTTTATATATGTATAATACACATGAGAGAATGTGCAGTGACTTAATGTCTAACATATTCAGAGATTTAAGTAGGGGTACCGAGTGATGTCTGGGGCCAGAATTGGATATTGTCCTAATAGCAGCTTTGTGTTGAGTAATTAGAGGACGTAAGTGATTTTGGGTAGTAGAGCCCCAAGCACAAATACCATAGTTGAGATATGGATAGATAAGGGAGTAATAGAGAGTCACCAGGGCAGGGCGTGGTACATAATATCTGATCTTAGAAAGAATGCCCACAGTTTTTGAAACTTTTTTTGATATGTTTAGAATGTGTCCCTGGAAATTAAGCTTGTGGTCAATGAGAATGCCAAGGAATTTGCCATCTAATTTGTTACAAATTTGGGTATTGTTTATTTTGAGATTTATTTGATTAGAGGATTTATTGCCAAACAGAATATAAAAGGTTTTGTCAATGTTAAGGGTGAGTTTGTTGGCAGTTAGCCACAGATGGACTTTATTTAGCTCAGTATTTACTGTGGCATTTAGAGCAAGGGGATCAGGACTGGAGTAAATGAAGGTTGTGTCGTCAGCAAATAGAATTGGTTTGAGGTGTTGGGAGGCATTTGGAAGGTCATTAATGTAGATGAGAAAGAGGAGAGGGCCAAGTATGTTGCCCTGGGGAACACCAATGTTGATGGGTAGGGTGGGAGAAATTGTGTTATTCACAGAAACATATTGGAGCCTGTCAGTAAGGTAGGATTTGAGGTATTGTAGGGAGTGTCCTCTGACTCCATAATGATGTAATTTAAGAAGAAGGTTTTGGTGGTTGACAGTGTCAAAAGCTTTACGCAGGTCCACAAACAACCCAACAGAGAACTCATTTTTATCAAGAGCTGTATGAATCGAGTTAAGCATACTAATAAGTGCATCGTTAGTGCTTTTTTTGGGTCTGAAGCCATATTGGCAAGGGCTAAGTATATTGAGTTTGGCTAGATATGAGTAAAGCTGCTTATAGATTAGTTTTTCAAAAATTTTTGACAAGTTTGGCAGGATAGATATAGGTCTGTAGTTGTTAACATCTGTGAGATTACCACATTTGTGGACAGGCGTTACTCTCGCTTTTTTTAGAATATCTGGGAAGGTTTGGAGTTCAAGTGACTTGTTGAAGAGCAAAGCAATAGCAGGGGCTAAAGATCTGGTGGCTTTTTTGTAAATTAAAGTTGGTATCTCCTCAAGGGCACCAGACTTGGTTTTAAGGGAAAGGATTATCTCATTGACGTCAGTGGAATTAATAGGCTTTAGGTACAGAGACTGTGGATAGTTACCTGAAAGATAGTCATTAATGTCTGTACTGGAAGATGGAATATCATTTGCAAGGGATGAACCAATGGAAGAGAAGAACCTATTGAACTCAGTAGCAGAATCAGAGGCTGAAAGCTGACCATCGTTATTAGACAGGAGAGTCGGTTTGTTATTTAAAGACTTCTTTGATCCCAATATTTGAGAAATTGTTCTCCAAGTTTGTTTAATGTTGCTCTTTATTTGGGTAAATTTATCTTCGTAGTATTTAGTTT